AATAAAAATTAAAAAATATATATTTTGCAGAAGAGAGCATCTCATTTGAAGTATTAGATAATGATACCTCTCAGTTGAGCAAAATGGGCTGGAGAGATACCAGGGATTAAAGTGCCTCTATACTAGTTCTTCAGTCCTTTCTATCTGTTTCTTAAAATAGTCAAATTTAAGAAGTTAATTAATAATTTAATGAACAAAATGAAAGGAGTTAAGGTGCTGCATTAGCCAGCATATGATCCAGAAACCAGTCTTGGGAGCAAATAATGAAGACAGAAAGATCTTCCCCACGAGGGGAAAATTGGAGCTTGTAATTGGAAGTTTCCAGGCATGCCCAGAAGTCGTGATGGGTCTGTTAGGAATTTTTCTGTCCACCTCAGACCTCCTAAAGAAAGACTTATCAAGTGCTGAGCTCTAGATAGTACAGAAAATTGCATAACAAGTACTGGAAAGATGCATTTTTAGAATAATAGTCAGTAAGAATAATAATCATCATGATAGCATAATAACCATCAAGCATCAGATTTTTTAATCGTTCTCCCCATACTTTCATAGAGTCTTAGTTTTTGATTCTCTGTCTCATCTCTCTCTTGGTTTCGTCATTTTCGCCTCTCATTATCTACACCTCTGTTGCGTATGGATTTACCCGAGCTTTCCTGTCTTCACATAGTTCTGAAATGACTGTCCCTTGCATCTTTCCTGGATTTCCTTTCATGGGTATCCATTAGGATGAACAAACTGTTCTTGGTATTCTAAATCTTAGGAATCCATGAAAGTTTAGCTCCTGCCTGATTTTGAGGAAGTATTAGTAATAACTCAGATTTAATAGAGCAGAAGAGCATCATTTAGCAAAGAAAATACCTGCAGGATTTAGCACACAGATGATTGTTTTGGGAGTGTTTTTCCTTGGAAATAACTAATGAGAGAACCTAGGTTTGTGGTTAACTAGATACCTGTCCGTGCCATAGTCGGTTACTACTTCCTGGTTCTAACACAGGTGAAATTCAGAGATTCAGAACTTTTCTGATCAAGATACTTATCTCCTAAGAAATGTTTTAGCACACTAAGTTTACTACACATTGAATGACCTAACTAAAAATACATTGGGATAAGTTAGCTCTAAATCACTTTTCTTTAATCTGTAATGCATAATCAATATGAATAACTGTTTCAAGTTTAAGTTTCTATGAGAGGGTTTAAGTCAAGAAAATAAAAAATTTCAAAAATGAAAAAAAGCACTTAGGTTAATTCAGAGAAAGTAGAAAATGTAATTTATTTGGATAAAAGTAAGAGGCTCATTCAGTTTCTAATATTGAGCATCTGATATTAATAATTACAGTTTGATATGTAATTTATCATTGGAGAAAATAGTAATTTAGAAAAAACCATATGTAAAGTTCCAAAAGACATTTAAAAATTATGAATATATTATAAAATAAAATAAAAATGGATTTGTATTTGCTGATAGTAAAACACAAGACATACTATGAGAGAGATGCTAAGTGTTACATTTCTTTGATTTCTCCTTTTCCTCCATCCCTTTTCTTTGTTGTTAGTGTATGACCCATACTTGCCCTCACTTGGGTTTTGCCCCTTTTTAAATTTTTATTTATTTATTTTGCCCTCACTTGGTTTTCTTGCTTGCTGGCGGCTGCTTGCTTCATTGTGTGCTCACACACTTGGTTTCTGCGCACAATCTGTGGCATCACAGAGTGGGGGTGAACGTAGAAGGAAACAAGCTTGGGAGGGCGCCAGTCAGGAGAAGTTGAGAGACACTGATTGAAATGGCTGGACTGTGCTGGATTCTTGGTTTGGTGACGGGGGGTTGGTGGCTCATCTCTCTGTGGGTCTCCCCATACTGCTTTTGTGATTTCTTTTGAAGTTCTGAAACTATAATTATTTCAAGTAAAATTTAAATGTTTTTGATCACCGTGAAATTGTGCCTAGTTGTTTTGTTTTTGTTTTTTTTTTTTTGCTTTTTGGGTCACACCCGGCAATGCACAGGGGTTACTCCTGGCTCTGCGCTCAGGAATTACCTCTGGCGGTGCTCAGGGGACCATATGGGATGCTGGGAATCGAACCTGGGTTGGCCGCATGCAAGGCAAACGCCCTACCCGCTGTGCTATTGCTCCAGCCCCTATGCCTAGTTTTTAATACTTTCTCATACCTTATTTATTTCAGGTTTTCCTGAAGACCGCCTTAGTACAAATATATATGTAAGCTGTCCTCCCATTGTTCATCGATTTGGTTGTGCGGGCCCAGTAACGTCTCCATTGGAGACTTTGTTGTTACTGTGTTTGGCATATTGAATACGTCACGGGTAGCTTGCCAGGCTCTGCCGTGAGGGCGAGATACTCTCGGTAGCTTGCCGGGCTCTCCGAGAGGGGCGGAGGAATCGAACTCGGGTCAGCCATGTTGGCTGCATGCAAGGCAAACGCCCTACCGCTGTGCTATCGCTCCAGCCCACAAATATATATTATGTATGTATATACACATACATATATAATTGAATCACTGTGAGATGTATAGTTACAGTGTTGTTCATGATTGAGTTTGTCTTATGATGTTCCAAATTCTGTCCTTTCATGAGGGTACATTTCCTGCCACCTATATCCCGTTTCCTCAGCAGCTCACCCTGCTGTCCCCATAGCCTTCCTCTGTGGCAGATATGTTCTCTCTCTGTCTGTCTCTGTCTGTCTCTGTCTCTGTCTTCTCTCTCTCTCTCTCTCTCTCTGTCTCTCTCTCTCTCTCTCACACACACACACACACACACACACACACACATTTTCCTTCTTTCCTTTCAGGCACTGTGGTTTCCAGTACTGTTACTGAAAGGGTATCATGCACATCACTCTCCCTCCTTTTAGCACTCAGTTCTGAAGGAAATGACAGTGATAGTTGGAAATGATCACTCTGAATAAGAACGGAGGGATATAGTTTTTATTCCTGAGATGTGACCTTTCCTGTGGTTGAGACGGTTTATATGAGAAGCCTCTCGTGCTTATCAAGCCCTCTTCACTTGGCAGGATCCAGATCTCCAATCTGTGTCTCCCTGTGGGGAGCAGCAGCTGCAGTTTGGTTTCAGCCTTTCGGCTTTTGTCTTCTCCAGGGCTGCTGAGCATCGTCCTGTGTGTGAGCAGTTCAGGGATCAGCCACAGTTCCAAATAACATAGACAGATTTGAGAACCACCTTCCTTCCTTGCTCCTATTTAGATTTCAGTCAGCCCTGATACACTCTCTAATGTGTTAAGCAACGAGACTAGTTTTCTCCTAGGAACTTACAGAATGTAGAGCTTAGCGGTCTCTTTATTTTGGGGGTGGGAGAGTGGGGAAAAGGAGTTTGGGCCACTTTCATCTGTGCTCAGACCTAGTTCCTGGCCCTGTGCTCAGAGGTCACCTCTGGCAAGGTGCGGGGGATCATTTGGGGTGCTGGGAATCTAACCCAGGTTGGCCACATGCAAGGCAAGAGCCAACATGCTGTACTGTCCAGCGCAAGCTGAGTGTTCTCTTAAGAAGTCTTCTGAGTGTAAATCTCATCCAAAATGGTTCCTCCTTTTAGTGATCTAAATGCCCCACATTTCTGCCTCTTTCTAGTTACTTTTCAGTGTATTTGGAAATGATTTTTTTAGAATATTTTATTCAGAGTTAGTAATTATTTTCTGTGAACATATTAGTTCAAAGTGAGATGGTTCATCATTGTGGGAACCACAACTAATGAAGTCTATTATATTTATTTGTTGGAGAGGGAATTCCAAGCAGTGCTCAGGGGACTCTAGAGGCCCACTCAGTGTGATTCAGCCAATCAGGCTGATGGTTCAGACCCCTGACCCAGCAAGGTGGTGCGGCTCAGCTTTAAGATACTGGGGACTACCACCCCCGTGGTGCCCAGGTGTCCATGCTGAGGATTTAACTCGGCTCTCTCTGCATGCAAGACTTGCATCCTTGGTCACTAAACTATCTCCCCTCACTCTCAGTGAATTTTATTTTCAAATATTATAAATATAAAACATTTGGAAAATAAATCATTTGAAAGAAAAATATGGTGATTTGCAACATTATGAGTATTAAAGGAATCAAAGAAATAATAAGCTAAAACCAAAAACTTAGAAAAAATACAAATGCAGACAGAGTTTTTAAGAGAAATGTAGGTTTTTCAGATCTTTAAAGCAGCATTTGTCACCTCAGCATCCATCTAAGTAGGATGCTTATATTGGAGTCGGAGGGATAGTACAGCAGATGGGGCATTTGCCTTGCATGCAGCATGAACCTGAGTTTAATCCCCGGCATCCCGTAAGGTTCTCTGAGTCCCGCCAGGAGTGATCCCTGAGTGCAGACCCAAGAATAAACACAGGCAAGTATGTCCACACACACACACACACACACACACACACACACACACACACACACATACAAATAGGAATATATTTATCACCAGAAAGAACTTCAGCTATAAAATCAGATTTTCATCTGTTGTCTTTTGGAAACATTTTTCCATTTATCCTTAGAACTTGCATTTTCTGGGGTCAGAGATATAGTACAGGGGTTTAGCATGCTTTCAACCCTGGTTTGGTCTCTGGCACCACATGGTTCCTGAGTGAGCATAGTGGGCTGCAGCCCCAGATGTGCCTAAGCACCCCTGGGTGGTCCAGATAATCCCTTGCATCAGCCTCCTAAGCACCACTTGGGAGGATCCTCACCTCCATCAAGTTGCATTTCCTGGGATCTGGGCAATAACTCAAAGGGCTTGAGCTCATGATCTGAATGCAGAAGACTCAGGTTTGGTTCCCAGCAGCGCATGGGCTCCCAAGTACCTCTGAGTGTGACCCCCAAAACAAAGAACTACATCAGAAGTTTCATTTTCTTTCTTAGCTATTTTTTGTCCTTTATCATGTCTTAGAGAATAAAGTAATTATCCCTGGCACTGCAAAAAGGAAAAATAAAGAAAAGAGACTATCTAAATTCCCTTCTGTTTATATGTTTTTCTTTTCCTTTTTTATTTTTAGTTGTTTTATAGCTGGCCGTAAATGAAGTGAGAAGAAACAAGAGCCATCACTAGAAAACATCATCCCTCTATTCCCCTGGAAGCTGCCCTCCGGAGCACGAGATTTGACCATATCTGTTCTGCAGACTCATTATGAACAAAGAAGTCTCCCAGGTAAGAATCTTAGTTCTGTGTTAAAAGAGCTTTGTCTCTGAAAAAGATTAATTTTTTAAAATTTTTATTAGTGAAACACCATGATACGTGTTTGATCTGAGAAGCTTCGAGTATATTATAAAATGTGTGCTGATGTTTTTAAGTGAAAATGTTAGGAAAGGTCTAAATTATACTTTATAAACCTGGTGAGTACATTGAAATTAATAGACTTCAGATCAGTATTCCAAGACCCTCAGAGTCTTCCTGAATTAAAACAGCAGCAGTTTTAATTTTCTTTCTAGTGTTCATTTTATAAATTTGGGCATTTTTATATTGTTGTTTCCAGAACTTGTGAGCTGAGGGAATAAGAGTAATATATCCAAGAACAAGTGTAGCTGTTGCTGCATACTCCTTTCCAAACTTAATCTTTCCATGTAGAAAAAAATGTACAAAAAGAAAGAAAGTATTGTCTGTTATTCTGCATAAAAACTTTTAGATGTAAATAAATTTTATTAAATATATTTTTAAACATTATGTGCTTTTAAAAGTTACCTAGTCCTTGATGATTACTAGCAAAATTATTAGAAAAATCAGTTTAGAAGACTATGCACAGAATTTTCTTTTATAAAAAACTAAAATGTGAAATTTATAGAATCAATAAATTGAGATAAAATGACACCTTTATCTTTAAGAACTCGTTGATTTAAATGCATTTCTTTGCTATTGCTTTATATTCCTGGTCATAATGGTTCAGATAGTGATAGATCATTTATGACAGAGGCTTGTTGGAGCAGGATCTCATTTCTGGGCTGTGAATAACCTTCCCCAGGGCTACTCCTGGATTCAGGTTCAGGGATCACTCCCAGCAGTGTTTGAAGAACCAGGCAACGTTGGGGATTGTTTAAGGAAATATTTGAGTTACTAGTTTCAAAATATCCCTTTTATTGGGGCTACCAAATAAGCCACATCCACATAAATAAGCCAAGACTTACTCCTGGCTCTGTATTCAGAGATTACTCCTGGTAGTGCTCAGGGTACCTGGGATGGAACCTTGGTCGGCAGCGTGCAAGGCAAATACTCTACTTGGTGTACTGATGCTCCAGCCTCAGAAACTATATTTATGACAGCCTAGGTAATATGCTTATTAAGCAGAAACAAAATAGGTAAGTTGGATTTTATTAAAAATAAAAGATATTTTTTACAAAGATAACCTTCAGGGGCTGGAGAGAGAGATAGCACAGCGGGTAGGGCATTTACCTTGCACGAGGTTGACCCGGGTTTGATTGCCAGCATCCCATATGGTCCCCTGAGCACTGCCAGGAGTAACTCCTGAATGCAGAGCCAAGAGTAACCCCTGTGCGTCGCCGGGTGTGACCCAAAAAGCAAAAAACAAACAAACGAAAAGGAAAAAAAAAGGATGTATAGGAGCAGAGAGATCACTCAGTAAACCTGACACTTGCTTTGCCTGCTGGAGGCTCAGATTTGATCTAAACCACATGGCCCCCACGTGCTGCTGGGTATGACCCCCGAAAGCAAAACAAATCAACAAAAATATTTGCAAGTGACCCGTCAACACATGAAAAGATGTCAGTGTCATTAAAGACCAGAGAAATATAAAACAAAACCTTAGAGATGCACACCAATAGGATGACTGTAATTGAAATGAAATTTTATTTTAAAGCCATAAGATAGCAATCTAGTGATGAGGGTGTAGAGAAATTGAAACTCCTGAACCCTACTGACAAGAATTTAAGATGATTTAGTCACAGTAAAAGATATTTGGCAGATTCCTAAAGAGTTAAGGAGAGTTACAGTATAATCCTATAATCCAATTTCTCAGCTTATATTTGAGGGAAAACTCCTTTATACAAAATTTGCACATAAATGTTCATATTGATAAAGAACAATATCTTTATTGGATATTGATTAGATATTAAGAAAGAGCCCCAGATTTTAAAAAACTGAGTAAATAAAATATGATATACTCAAACAGTAGAAAATTATTCAGAATTTGAAAGGGAAATGAATATACTAAAGGCAATTTCCTTCCTTCACATGCAAGGATTTCAGTTGTTGAAATAAAGACAAAATTATAGTGCATTTTCTGCTGCTCACACCACTGGCTGTGGTGTGTATTCTTCCCTCTCTTACTCTCCTTGCATTTTTCTAAATAATTATTTTACTTTACTAATAAATAACTAATTTGCATGTAGCTATTGAATTAAAAAGACAATATTGTAAACTATTTTTTAGAGAACCCTAAATGTGTGGGAATTCCTATATGAGAAACTTTTTTTGTGGCATTTACCCCATCTAGAAGTGCTTTCTTTATCACCATTTTTTCTAAATGATTCTATGATTTGGGGGAATCCATTCTCAGAGCCTGTCTCCTCATTTGCATGCTGCTCTATGCTAATTGCCTACTAAGCATTTTAAATTATATTAGTACTGTTGTTTATTAACTTGCTGTTGCTGATTTTTTTTTTCAAATCAATTTGTTCTCAGCTAAATTTGGGAGATGAGTAACATTATTTTTGTGGAAATTTATAACTCAACTGAAAGATAAAGCACTGACCTATTTCTTCAGTCCTACCTATTTGGCTTAGTTGACTCCATTTGAACAGATATAGCTGTGGTTTCATGTTCCTAAAACTGTTCTCTAGAGATTTCAGGAGCTTGGATATAACTCAGCAACTCCTTTTTCAATCAACAGGGTACTTTTACTGAGAAACCTTACCTCTGTTTAACGGTGATATGCAAATTGGTTTCCTGAAACCAATATTTTATTTCTTAATGAGCATTATTTCAGTAACTGTTCCATCACATTTAAAGCCAGTCCACAAACAGAACTGCTCTGATAGGTTTCACACTAGAGGTTTTGCATTCTGTTTTCTGTCCAGTGTTTTATAAACAAAACCATTAATACTAGAAACTTATCAGCAAATTTTTGGTGACAATTACAGCCTTTTGGTTATTGACCCTTATTTTGGTAGACACTGAAATTGTCTGAGGAAACTTCCCACCTCCCACTCACCTCCTTAACACCTCCTTGGTTTATTTAGTTTGAGATTCATGTTTACAGTAGCTTTGGCTCTTACTCATTTAAGTGTCTTTGTATGATAACATTTATCTCATGCATTTATTTAATCATTAGTAGAAATCTGGAACTTAAAAGTTCATCTTGTTTCTTACATATGTAGCACTGTAGCACTGTCATCCCATTGTTCATCAATTTGCTCAAGCGGGCACCAGTAATGTCTCCATTGTGAGACTTCTTGTTACTGTTTTTGGCATATCGAATACGCCACGGGGAGCTTGCCAGGCTCTGCCGTGCAGGCGGGATACTCTCGGTAATTTGCCGGGCTCTCTGAGAGGGACAGAGGAATTGAACCCGGGTCGGCCATGTGCAAGGCAAACCGCCCTACCTGCTGTGCTGTCATCACGCCAGCTCTTTTTACATATAGAATGTTTTTTTTGTTTATTTAAAAAATTTTTTTTATTCATACATGTAGAATTTGAAGGGACCAGAAATGTCCATTTAGCAGTTGGAAACTTAGATATGAAATCACTGAGATGAAAAGATGTGCTTATCCTTCAGAGAAGTCAGAGTGAAAATCAGATCTTGTCATTCTGTTGTTCCTATCCTAGCCCACCTTTAGTGCCTAGCTTGTCCACGGTATACCCAAAGTCCTTCAGTTGGCATTTAAGACCTGATATTATGCAGCCTTGCATGATCTCTCCAGCCTCGTTTTCCTGTTCCCTCTCTCCAGGTTCTTGTTGTACTGTCTTCCTCTGTTTCTCTTTTCAAAAAGCTTTGTCATGCTCCAGCCTCCAGACTCCTACTGATGTGAAATTTGTATTTTATGTGTATGTTGCCTTGGTAAACGGTAAGGATTTCATAAGGAGCTTTAAACCATTGATTGACATGATCAGACTTCCTTCGGTAGTTTACTCTGTTGGCTAATGAAGATTATCAATCAAATAATTTTAATAGTACAGTAAGAGATTAGAAGAAGATGAAGTGAGGAAAGGATAGATTGTTTGGTTTGGGTTTTGATTTGGGGGCCTCAGTGGTGCTCAGGGCTTACTTCTGACTCTGCACTCAGGGATCACTCCTTGAAGTCATGGGGGACCACATGTGGTGCCGGGGACTGAACCTGGCTTGGACCACGTGCAAGTACCCTACGCCTTGTACCATCACTCTGGCTGAAGGGATAGATTTAAAAGAAAAAAACAAGCAATAGAACCTTCGCATGTGCTGTCTGCAGGATGGGCAAACCCTTGACTTGCAGTGCTTTTCCTCCGTCAGTAGTCAGTACTCGCTCGCTCCTCTCTGTCAGTCCCCGCACTGGGACCCCCCTCTCAGGAAGCTAATACCTAATGGCCGGGACCTCCCTTCAAACCACTGCTCTGCCCCTCCACACGCCTACACTTCTAATTTACCTCATTTCTCTCCCGAGCACGTGTCGCTTTCTAATGTGCTCTGTAATTTGTTATTTGTGTCATTTATTGTTCCACTGCACAAATAGAATGAAGGTCTTTGCGAACAGATTTTTATAAATTTTATTCACAGCTGTATTCCCAGTTCCGAGACTAAAGGCTGCCCTATAGTAGGAGTTCAGTATTTGTTAATTAAGATGGGCTGCCCACACTGAGACGAATTTAAACTTTTCTAACCTTTGCTGGGAACATGGGGTATTACCAAGGATTTTACTTCAAGACCGCTTTCTTAGGGTTTATGTAATCTGTAATACTTCATTAGTCATTCATTCACCGCATTCTGTAATGCGGTAAGAACTTTTGCAAATTTTGGATTTCATGTGTATGTTATACTGTGGGCAGTAAGGATTTAGTGAAGAGTTTTAAATGGTTGACATAACCAGATGTATAGTTTTGGTATTTTGCTAGGTTGGCTCAGGAAAACCACCTTGGAAACAAATTTTCGTAATCCAGCAAGAGATAATTAGATGATAATGTGAGGAAGGGATGGATTTAAAAAAAATGTTTAGGAAATAAATATGTACACATTTTTGTGTATGTATATTTGTGTGTGGGTTATGAGAGAAGAGGCTAGAATGACCCCATTGTGCCAGATAGAGAAATCATACATGAGGAGAAATGCTAACTTCACCTGGGAAAGTGGAATTTGAAAGACTGTTATGGTATCTGAGTGGAGAAAACTGGGGATGGATTATGACACTGAGACTTAGGAGATCTGGTCTGGAGGAGATGGAGTTGTTCAAGATATTTGGTGAAATAATATTGAATGACATCCTTCCTGTCACATGGTTTAAGCATCACTTCTTTTATTTATTTATTATCTTGAGCCACACCCAGCCATGGTCAGGGCTGACTCTTGGCTCTGAGTTTAGGAATCACGCTGGATGGGGGCTCGGAGGACCTTATGGAGCATCAGAGATCAAAGCCAGTTGTCTGCATGCCAGGCAAGCACCTTCCTGCTCTGCCATCTCTCCAGCCCATAAGCATCTCTTCTTCAGAGAGGCCCCAGCTGATCCTAAATTTTAAATTGGGTTCGCTTCATTGCTTTTTTCTATGAAGCCTACTCTTTTATGACTTACTACAATTCAAAACTTCTTTTCATTTTATTTATGTCTCCAACTTTATGAGGACAGGAATCTCTATTTTACTGTCTTCTAATTTTCTAAACTTATGTTACACTCTTCGATATTTGATAAATGCTTTATTAAATGAAAGAAGGAAGGGTAGGATCATGGAAGCCAATGATGATTTATCAGTGAGGAAATAATAGTTGGGTGATCCACTGACGTGAATATTAAGTACTTCATGTGGAGCTATTCAGTTCTCATAAGAAATCTAAAGGTAAATAAGTCATTTTTATCCCTACGTAATCAGATGTCACAGATGAGGGTATAGGCAAAAGGAAGTGAGGTACTTTGGCTCAGATACAGGCAGATAGCAAGTGAGTCTTAAGTCAAAGTCTTAAGTCAAGACTTGAACAAAACCTTTCTGACCTGTGCTTTTAACTGTAATGTTCCAGTAGGGGAGTACAGTTGATTCTCTACTAGGGAAGTGGCATCTTGAAAGTGATACTTGAGCAGGAATGGTTTTGCTGCTATTTGTAGGACAGATCGAAGTAAAATGAGGTGCTGGAGAGATAATACAGCAGGTAGAATGCTTGCTTGCCTTTCACATGGCCGACTGGGGATCAGTCCCCAGCACCCCAGGCACCAGGAATGATTCCTGAGAGCAGAGTCAAGAGTAAGCCCTCGGCACCACAGGATGCGTCCCAAAAACAAAAAAAGAACTAAAAGTGAAGTGCCAAAGAAAAGGTGAAAAAAAAGTTACAAAAACCCTCACATTAATCTAGAGTGAAGCATTTGGTTCTAAACTAGAACCATAACTGCCTAAGAATGAAAATAAGAGAAGACTTTGTCCAAGAAAGATCTTTTGTTAAAGAATTAAAAGAACCTTAGTACCAATTAGAAATGAGAAATGAAAGTGAAGAGGAAATAAATGATGTTGAAATTACAATCACCGGAGTTGGAAATTTTCATGAACACCATTCTAATATAGAAAAATCAGAAATGTGCCGTTTTGATTGCATGAAAGAATAAATTCCTAACTAGAATTATTATATATTTGTGTAGGGAAAGCGATTATGATACTTCGGGGTTGAGAAAGAACTAGAGACAAGAGTAAGTTTCAAAGAAAAGGATTTATTTACTGGACATATTAAAGCCATTTAGATTTCATGGATCTCAAGATTATCTTTTGGGGGGGGGAGGGTTTGTGCCACACCCAGCAGTGCTCAGGGCTTACTCCTGGCTCTGCACTCAGAGATTACTCCTGGTGGGCTCAGAGGGCCCATGGGGTTCTGGGGCTCAAACTCAGGTCATCCACATGCAGGACAAACTCCCTACCCTGTACTATCACTTCAGCTCCTCACAATTCTCTAATAAATCTTACATGTGGTTGTCAGCAGTTGGTACTGTAATTGGTTTTGAATTTTAGAATTTGAGAAGAGTTTCTCCATTTTACAAAAAATTCCTATTTACAAACAGATACAGTGAAAGAGAGTAGAGTTATGTATTTCTTGGGAATAATAAAATCCGAAAGGTAGTGGTGACTGGAGCCAGAGTTAGTTTCTGGGGAGCAGTGGGAATTTCACAGAACGGTGTTGAGAGGGACAACACAGAGAGCCCTGGAGTGCTGTCACTAACTGGCACAGCCTGTGAGAGGAGCGCTGGCTGCAAACCCAGGGGAATGACTCTGTGTTCTTTGGCATCTACACCAAGATCCTCACTAAACATTTGGTCTTTATTGTCTGACTACAGTCAACACTTACTAGAAGTATGGAATTCAGAGCTATTAAGTGCAACACAAAATCTAAAATTAATGCATCACTTTATTTATTTTTTATTTTCGGGCCACACCAGGCAGTGCTCAGAGATTACTTCTGGCTCTGCTTTCAGAGATCTCTCCTGGTGGTCTCGGGGGAACATACGATGGGCCAGGGATCAAACCTGGTGGACTGTGGGTAAGGCAGATGCCTTACTCGCTATACTGTTGCTCCATCCCTATAGTTCATTACCTTAATCACCTACTTATTTCTTTTCCTATCAACATAAAACCCCAAACTTTATGAGTAAAAGTTGCTTAATACCCTATGCAGAGACAAACCTGAAACACAGAAATATAAAAAATTTCTCTCCTAGGTATGTATTCAGTTTTTATGTTTATATAAAAAAGTGATTTTAAAAAAAAACTCTATCTACTTAATCTAACAGCATTTTCATATTTTCTCCAATTTGTTGATTATTTTGTATTTTGCATGTTGCATTTGTTTATAAAAATGATTTTATTAGGGAATGCCCCTGCCACAGTGGCGGGGGGGATGGGGGGGATGGTGGGGAGGGATATTATCCATGGTGGTAGAAAATGGGCACTGGTGGAGGGATGGGTATTTGATCATGGTATGACTGAAACCCAAGCACAAAAATTTGTAAATCTACAACTGTACCTCATGGTGTTTCACTAATAAAAAATAAATTTTAAAAAAATGATTTTATTTTATAGGTACAGAAAAGTATGAATGATAAGTAGTGAAGCTATGCTTTTGTAGACATGTCTATGACCATTGTTCTTACCTATTCTCTGGGAGACAGGGTAATAACAGTTAGATAGCTTCTAGTGCAAGGAACTGCTCACAAGGCTTGCTTTTTTCTTCTTGTCCTTCCTCTTCAGGTGTGAAGTTTTTCACCATGAGTGGCCTCGGGGACAGTTCATCGGACCCTGCTAACCCAGACTCTCACAAGAGGAAAGGCTCACCCTGTGACACACTGGCATCAAGGTGGGCTGCTCTTTTCTTAATCTGATGTCATTTTCACTGCCCTTTGGGCTTTTGTGCCTTGTACTTGAGATTTATTAACCACCTTCTTTTGGAGGTGAGGAAGGGAGGAGTTTTCAAGACACGCACACCCAGTGGTACCCAGGATCCGCTCCTGGCAGTGTTCCAGGGACCATATCATACCAGGGCTCAAACCCAGAACTCCCACATGCAAAGCATGTACTCCAGCGCTCTTTGAGCCATGTTCCCAGCTCCTTCTGGTCTTCTTCTTTTGGGGGTGTAGGGAGGATGGAGGAGCACCAGCGGTGCTCAGGGACTACTCCTGACTGTTTCGGGGGGTGGGGTGCCAAGTGGAACTAAGGAAACTATGGAGTGTTTTGGCTCTTCTTCCCAATTGCAAAGCCCTTTGAGCTGCCTCTCAGGCCCCTTCCAGAATCCTTCCATCTTACCAAGTTCTTTTCCTCCCCCGGGCCCTTACACATATTGCTTGTTCCCTCTAAATTTCCTCTAGTTGACACCATTGTATTTTCCAGATGGCAGCTAGTCACTACTTACTAAAGGGAACCTCCTCTTCCTTCTATAACTCTTCACTCAAATCTCCCCCATTCATGTATTTGTCCAAGAAGTATTTTTACAGTTCTAATCCATAATTTTCAGATTTTTGGTAGTTTTTATGATTATTTCATGAATCCTTGGCTTCTCTACAACATTCTAATCTTTTGGTAAGAACTTTGTCATCGTGGTACTCAGAGCTTACTTCTTGCTCCGCACTAAGGGGTCATTTCTGGAGGCACTGGGAGGAAGTTGTTTTTGTAATATTTCAAATGTATTTTATTTTTTCCCTGTTCTTGGCCTTTACTGTTCTACACAGATTTAAAAATCTCATTTTTTTACTTTGCCCTGAGAAAATCCAAGTTTTGGTTTTTTAGTTTTCTTTACTGGGTCGATTGGGAAAATTTACATTTTTCAAATCTAGATTCTAAATTTTAAAGTTTTCTCATTGAGAACAATGACTTTTTATTTCTTCTTCACTGTTCTCCCATCACAATTTATCATTCTTCCCTATGAAAATGTAGCCCATCTCTAGTTTTATAGTCCATCTACATTCCAGTAACATAGAATTTTTATTGCTTTTAGGGATGATACCATTATATCTGTTACATTTTCTAGTGGATATTTATTAGAAATTAATGACTTCCTTGTCAAGGGGAGTGCTAACCTTCGCACAGCGGGTAGGGCGTCTGCCTTGCACGCAGCCAACATGGCCGACCCGAGTTCGATTCCTCCGCCCCTCTCGGAGAGCCCGGCAAGCTACCGAGAGTATTCGATATGCCAGACACAGTAACAACAAAGTCTCCTATGGAGACGTTACTGGGCCCGCTCGAGCAAATTGATGATCAACGGGAGGGCCTTTACTTACTTACTTAATGACTTCCAGTTGATAATAAAATAATAAATATATAAATAATAACAAAGTTGATGATAAAATGATTTTAAATAAAGATAATAGAGTAATAAAATGGGAAAACTATTTGAAAGTAGTCATCTTTGATGTGGGGGTGCCTAGGTTTTGTTACCATACCCAGCTGTCCTCAGGGCTTACCCTTGGCTGTGTGCAGTACAGGGGATTGAACTGGGGTCAGCTCCATTCAAGGCAAGGTCCTTAATTAACCCCTGTACTAGCTCTTTGGCCCCAGGAGTATTGATCTTAGACTCAGTTTATCCATTGCCTTGCGCTTTCTTGCTTTAATGGCTTATCTATACATTGTTAGGTTTTTGTATACATAATCATATTGCAAATATAAAGCTTTAAATTTTTTTCTCAGGTACTTTAAGAATGTACTGGAGCAATAGCACAGCAGGTAGGGTATTTGCCTTGCACGTGGCCGACAGGGCCAACCTGGGTTTGATTCCTCCGCCCTTCTTGGAGAGCCCGGCAAGCTACCGAGAGTATCTCTTCCACACGGCAAAGCCTGGCAGGCTACCCGTGACGTATTCGATATGCCAAACACAGTAACAAGTCTCACAATGGAGACATTACTGGACCCACTCGAGCAAATCGATGAACAACAGGAGGACAGTGACAGTGACTTTAAAAATAATGGTCTTTGTAGGTATGTTTTAAAAATATTTAAAAGCACCAGATTTATAGGTATAGGCTTCAGTTTTAATCAAGTGGTATTTAAAAAATTTTTTAAGCTAGGCACCATTTATTTACAAACCCTTTTATAATAGGGTTTCAGGCACACAGCGTTAATTAGTATTTTTGATAGGGCAAACTGAAAATCTGTGGCTTTGAACCGATTGGGTTCTGCATGAGTACTATCTTACAGTGTTTCTTAGTTTTATTGTTACATATGCTGTCTCCCCAAAGAGATGGTGACCTCATTCATCCTAAAGAGCACATAGTAGACCCCAGGGGAGTTTCTCTGAACTTGTTTGGTGGATTGAGCTATCTCATATTTCTCGCCTGCTACCTCACCTCTGTTCTCATCATCTTAACTCTTCTTGGAGAATGAAGATGAAAATGCTTGTCTTAAGCTGATGGACAGCTGTGCCTTCTGCGTGTTTATTACTACTGTTCTCCTCAGCACATGCTTATTAAATGCTTCAATTCGACCAGCACCATGTGCACAATGCTGGAAGGATGTAAGTTAAGAGCGAGAGACTTGTGTCCTGTCCCCAGGAGCTTCCAAATCTGCTCATGTCCCTCATTCTTTTTTGTAAACTTTTCTGGGCTCATTCTACCCCTGAAATTAAATAATCAAACAGGATACTGATAAGTAACAGGTAGATTAAATGAGTAGTATATGCCAGGAGGTAATTAGCGTCACTCTTCCTGTCACTGTCACTGTCACTGTCCTCCCGTTGTTCATCAATTTGCTCGAGCGGGCCCAGTAACGTCTCCATTGTGACAATTGTTACTGTGTTTGGCATATTGAATACATCACGGGGAACTTGCCAGGCTTTGCCATGTGGGCGAGATACTTTCAGTAGCTTGCCAGGCTCTCTGAGAGGGGCGGAGGAATCGAACTCGGGTCGGCCATGTCGGCCGCTTGCAGGGCAAACACCCTACCCGCTGTGCTATCACTCCAGCCCTCTGAGTTAATAAACCATCAGATAGTCACAACAGGAAGGAACAATTCCTACTTTACAGATAAGGAAATAAATACTTAGAAAGTTAAATTGTGTGAAATAACTTGTAAAGGTTACATAGCTAGCCAATGACAGGGGAGTCCATGAGCTTTGAAGTGCTCTGCCATGTTCTTTACCATGGCATGTTTGTGAGTCTTGTGATCTGGCCTGGACCTAGCCTTTGCCTTTGATTCCTTGTATACAGTCTGTAGTTCAGCCATACTGAACTCCTTAAAGGTTCTTTAACAGTGATGTTTCCACTCTTACTTTACATCTTTGAAATCTTCGTTTTTCAGGAGCCAGGCTTCCTTATGAATAGGTTTGGACATCCATTGAGGGTTAGGTGCCATCTCTGTGCTCTTAACCAGCATTGTGATCTTGTCACGTAGAATTGTAATGACCTGTTTCCTTTTCTTTGTTCTTCCACTAATTGGGGACTGGGTCTAATTTATTCACTATGGATCCCCAGGACACAGTACATCGTTTTTGATACGTGATAAATATAGAAGCATTGTTGAAAAAAGGGGTAACTTGAAGGGGAAAGGGATACATGAGATATTAACTCCTAGCGGCATTAATTAGCATGCATGCGGTATGAATGAAAATAAAGTGGGTTAATGAGACACATTCACGGCCTAGAATAATAAAGGAAACCTTTTCCATTAAGGTAAATGTTTTTGGTGATCTTCCGCCCCTGGCCTGTCAGTTTTCGGTTTTTTTCTTTATCTGACCTCTGACCATACCTTTTCTCATCTTCTATCCTTGTTTATTAATGACTTCACTTTGAGGTGATTTCCTTAATCCTGTTCATAAGTCATTTTATAGCTACCTCACCATTAGTTCTTTTTTCCTATTTATTTATTGAATCACCATGAGAGCAGTCACAAAGCTTTTGGGTTTCAGTCTCGATCATACAATGATGACACACCAGTCCCTTCACCAGTGTACATTTTCCACTACCAAAAACCCCAGTATACTCCTTATCCCACACCCTCCCCCTACCTGTATGGCAGATGATTTCCACATTACTCTCTCTCTACTTTGATTATATTCAGTATTTCAACACCAGACCCACCATTATTATTTGGGATTTTACCCCAACACTCATATCTGCCAAAGAAGCAACATTAGACAATTTGTTTTCTATTGCTGATTATGAATAGCATATGATGTCATGCAGCCACAGTGGAATTCTGAAATCTTAATAATTAAATCTGGAGGGATTTCTGCCAAAAGCAGCTGGGTTCCGAGATTTGTTTCTGAGTCTCTGGGATCATGGCTTAAGCTGCTTGTTGAGTAGCCCCCTCACCATTAATTCTTAAGGCTTCCCATCACCTCTGTCCCTATCCTAATTCATTTGACCACTTTTCCTTTCTACAGTGGGTACGAGCACTTAAGTTTCAGACAAAACTTAATGTTGAAGTCAGATTTTGAGGACCCATCAAGTAAATTCAGTTAACTTATATTGAGAAGTAAACCACATAAATGTAGACAAGTCATATGTATTAGACCACCATTTTAAAAAATGGGCATTACCACCTCCTCCCATGTGTCGGGGGGTGCAAGGATGTGGGGGCACTTGGATGCAGTTGGGGACACTTTGTTTGCTTAATGAAAGTATGGGAGGGAGTGTGTTTAGTGATTTTTTTTTTCTGGAAAGGCTGAGAGGTGATAGGTCAAAAAAAAGTTTGGGAACCTTACCTTAGCCTGCATTGATTAAGTCTAGTAATTCTTTGAGGTAAAATCTAAAATCTCTTGCATATCAAAATCTGTTACTCTACACTAACTAGAGTTTCTTTGTATAACAGTACTGAAAAGAGGCGCAGGGAGCAAGAAAACAAATATTTAGAGGAGCTAGCTGAGTTGTTATCTGCCAACATCAGTGACATTGACAGCTTAAGTGTAAAACCAGACAAATGCAAGATTTTGAAGAAGACAGTCGATCAGATACAGCTGATGAAGAGAATGGAACAAGGTAAGGAATTCTTTTCAAATCTTGTGCGCTTTGTTGCTAAGATATTTGCAAGTTCTTTTACCTTAGTATTATTAAAATTACTTTAAAATTTTTATCTTATTAGAGAAAGACAAATTTAGATGCTATTTATTTTAGAGAGTGAATCTGAGTGCCTTCTTGTTAAAACAAAGTAACTTATTAAGTTATCTTGGAAACTGGTTGCCTTGGGTCATTATGAGGCACAGAGTCCTAGGAGAAGAAGTTAGGAGTCACTGGATGCACTTTGAGGTAGACAAAAGACTGTGGAAGGAGTATGTGCATGAAAAAGAATGGAACACATAAATCTGTTAACTGAGGAAATTAAGAAAAAATTTTCACACTGGAGAAGAATGTAGGGATAAGCTAAACTAGCCAGAAAAGCAAAAACACAAAATATGTGAGAAAGCAGTTGGGCCAGAGAGAGAGGACAGCATTTAAGTCACACATTCCTTGGCTAATTTGGGAGCTATAGTTATGTAGCCATACTAACATAGTAAAGATTGATTGATCTAAAAATTATAACAGCACTGGAAAGATGGAGGAAAAAGAAACGTGTGTATTGAAGGTTGAGGTTAAAGTCTTACCATGTCTGATAGCATGTCAAAAGATTGTTTAATATGGACACACACAGAATATAACAAAAAAGCATGTTAGTGAGAAATATGAACTATGTTAGCCTGTGGGGTCGGCTAGTTGATTGGTGCCCAGAGATGGTCAGATTTTGATTCCTTTCACCTTCTTTGTTGTACCATTCTTAGAGGGTGGTCATTATCCATGTGGCCAGAAGTAGTGTACTTGTCCATATCTTAGCTAACACAAAGGGAAGGAAGAAAATTGGAAAGCCTGATTTCTTTCTTTCTAAGGACAAGATACAGAAATTATATGTCACTTTGATCACATGCCTTTAAACAGAAATAAATGTCACAGCTACTCCTGCCTTAGATTTGCTTATATTATCAGATGCTTTACTTTTCATACATGTATATTTAATATTTGGGACTTTACATTTTATATTTTTTTGGAACTTGTTTTAGAAGACAAAATTCTCGAGCCAGGGAGATTCTTTGAAGGGCTGCATTCTTTGCATACAGGAGATTTGATTTCACTCTTCAGCACTACATGGTCTCCTGATCACTGCTGGGAGTATCCCCTGAGCACCACCAGGTGTAACCCAAAAAACAAAAATAAACCAACCTAAGCTGTCTTAGGTTGGAGCGATAGCACAGCGGTAGGGCGTTCGCCTTACAAGCGGCCAACATGGCCGACCCGAGTTCGATTCCTCCGCCCCTCTCGGAGAGCCCGGCAAGCTACCGAGAGTATTCGATATGCCAGACACAGTAACAACAAAGTCTCTAATGGAGATGTTACTGGGCCCGCTCGAGCAAATCGAGCAAAAGCTGTCTTAATATTATAAACACAAAAGACAATGATAGAAGTACATTTTAGAATTAAGGGAGAAATTGGTACTCCCGGCAGCACTCAAGGGACCATGCCCCACCAGGGTGGTGAGGGTCGAGTAACACCACATCCTCAGGACTGTCATTGAACCACAGTCATGGTTGGCCAAGAATCACTAGACGTGGCTCCTACGCCCCCCAAATACTGCTTGGGGGACCCTAACTCACCCCCTCGAATAAAAAACTCAATTAAAACACTGGCAAAAGCCCTGAATAGACATTTCTCTGAAGAAGACAAATAAATGGTCCATAAGCAGAAGGAAAAATATGTTCAATATCATTAGCCATCAGAAAAATGTAAATCAAATCACTGTCTTTACTCATTATACCCTCCCGGGATGACTATAATCAAAAAGATAACAACAAATGCTAGTGAGATGAAAGAAATTGAAATCTTTGCACATTGCTGGTAGCATGTAAATTTATGTAGCCCCTTTGGAAAACAATTTATAATTCGTCAAGAGATAAACATAAAGGAAGCCTATGACCCAGTAATTCTACTCTTGGATATATGCCCAAGAGAAAGAAAAACTTATTTTGGGGGGGGGTTGTTTTGGGGCCACAATCAGTGGTGCTCAGAGCTTACTCTTGACTCAGTGCTCGGGAATCACTCCTGGCGGGGCTTGGGAACCTTGTGGGGTGCTGCTAGGGACTGAACCCCTGTAGGCTACATGCACGTCAAAAGCCCTACTCACTCTATTGCTCCAATCCCAGAAAAACACTTTTGCACACAAAAACTTGTACATGGATATGCATAACTGCACAATCCATAGCCAAATAAGATAGTTATAAATGAATAAACCTTGAAAATCTTATGCTGAGCAAAGAAGCCAGTCACACAGGCCCACAAGTTGTATGGCTCCATTTATGTCAAGTATTTAGAACAGTCAGATCATACAGAAAGTGTGATTGATAGTTGCCCAGCTCTTGACACTGTTGAGAAAGTGCTAGAGCACATGGAGTTTCTTTTGTAAGGCGTTGAAATGTTATATGGGTTATATCATAAAGGCCTTGTTATTGTAAGTACTGTATGAGAGAACATTTTATACTTAACCAGATTTGCAAAAATTAAAACCTGTGATGCTCTTACACGTCAGCAAGGATGCGGAAAAAACTAAACTCCTTATTGCGACTAACGGTACAGCCGCCTTGAGATCATATTATTAATACTTAGTAATCTTGAAAATAGAAAATAAACACATTATTTTTTTTTTGTTTTTAGGCTACACCGAGCAATGCTCAGGGGTTATTCCTGGCTTTGCACCCAGGAATTATTCCTGGTGGTTCTCAGGGGACCAAATGGGATGCAGGGATTGAAAAGGGCTGGCCAGATGCCAGGCAAGAGTCCTACCTGCTGTACTACCACTCCAGCTGAAAATGAACACATTCTGGGGCCAGAGAAATAGAACAGTGTGCAAGACACTCCCCCTAGCACTGTTTGTTGTGGCCCAAAAACAAATATAAAATAAACACATTCTGTAATCCAGCATTTCACTTTGATTGTTTGTCCTAAGGAAACTGTCACATGTGTACAAAAGAGGAGATATTGGAAGTAATTTATTACCACACTTTCTGTAGTAGTCAAAGGTCTCTCTCAAGAGGGACTAGAAACTGTGGGTTGCTTGTTATGTATGTAATACTGTACAGCAGCTCAAATGAATGAACCAAAACTGTGATTTTATGTCATTAAATCTCAGAATAAGTTGGGTAGAAAAAGTAATTTGAGAAAGTCTGTACATTTATGTAAACACAATAATGTGTTGCTTGTAAAATCAAATGTATTGCTAAAGTATAATTACATACCCAAAATACTAGTTATTTCTTAATAGAATTGGTAGCAGAATTTCTGCTCTTTACGACATCTTATTTTAAACTAAGGGATCGGAGTGATAATACAAGATTGAAGGCACTTGTATGCGGCTGACCCCAGTTCAATCCCCTGTACCTCATTGGTACCCCAGACACCACCAGGAGTGACCCCTGAGCACTGCTGGGTATGAACAAAACAAACAAGAAAAAAAAAACTGAAGGAAAGGGCTAAATACAATTAATAGCCCCGAGAAATGATTTTTTTCTGTGTGTATCTATGCTGTGTCATTTTTTCCTTTAGAGAGATTATTTGAAATATCTCATGTTAATTTTTGTTTGTGTGTATGATTGTGGAGTTCTACCCACTGGTGCTAGGGGCTTGCTTCTTGGTGGTGCTCAGGATGTCATGTGGTGTCAGGGATGAACCCCAGACCTCCAGCATGCAAAGCACATGCTTAGCCCTTTGAACCGTCTCTCCAGCCCCTGGAGTATTTCATATTTTAAAGTTAAAAGTGAGTCTCTATTCAGTACTACCATATTTGGTTTTGGGAAAACTAACTAGTTTGACTGAAAACTTTTGTTGAAGTATGCTGATGCTTCAAGATGATGGATGGATTTTTCAGAATCTCTGACAAAAGAATCCCTAATCATTTACTACCTACAGTTTTATCAATTGGATTATCATGACATGAATGTGAACGGTTCATGCAGGTTCACAGGAGGCGGGGTCATAGCTTCTTGTCTCTTCATCTAGAACTAAATCAGAAAAAAGAAAAATGCTTACATTTTATCCATTTCTTCAACACTTTGTACAGTTTTTAAAGGGTTTTTTTGTTTAAGTGTTTGTTGCTTTTTTGGCCACACCCAGCGGTGCTCAGGGTTCCTCCTGGCTCTGCACTGGAGATGGGGCGGGGGGGGGGGGGGCGGGATGTCACTCCTGGTGGTGTTGGTGGTCTGGGGTGCCTGGGATTGAGCCCAGTTGTCTGTGTATAAGGTAAGCGCCGTCTGCTGTACTACTGCTCAGGCCCCAAACAGTTATATGTTTATATTGGTTTCTATTTTCCTTAGGACACTGGACCTACCTCGTAGGTCAGAATTCATATCCTTTTGCAGCTACATAATATTTATTTAATGCGGGGCACATTGGTTAACTTTGGTGACCTTCAGTTTACTCTTCCACAAGATGAGTATAATTAAGATTTAATATAAAGTGCCTAGATAAATTATTTTTAATCAGAAATCAGGTGAATTTGCATCTTGATAAGCTTTATGGAAATACACCCTCTTTCTTTCACAGAGAAATCAACAACTGACGATGAAGTACAGAAATCAGACATCTCTTCAAGTAGCCAAGGAGTGATAGAAAAGGAATCCTTGGGGCCTCTTCTTTTGGAGGTAGCTATTCTCATCGACTAAGAAAGCGTGATCGAAACATTTATTCCGGCAAATTTCATTTTTTTCCTTCAATTTGTTGTATGTCTTACACCCAGTCTGTGAATTACAAAGTAAGGGACTAGGAATGTACTTGATGGTAGAATGCATACTTCGCATGTGCAGGGCCTGTGGCTCAGTTCCCATCATCTCTATCACACTACCATTCACCGTCCTCCCCAAAACAAATCAAGTATAAAAACAAAGTAAAGTTTTAAAGAACTTCGAATAATTATTAGAGAACTTGACCTTTGTAGAATTAAACGTGAATAATGAACATGGGAAGTTTATAAAGGCATTTCAAAATAGTTGGACAACTGAAGCCAATACTATCTTTGCCATTTATTTCTGTGGTGTTGAGGTCTAGTTGGGAACATAAGCACTGGAATTCTTTTGCTAGCCTTTACCAGCTATATCTCCGTAGAATTCCACTTTTGAGTCAAGTATGGTCCCGTTATATTGAAGTAAGTACTTTAATTGTTTATGTAAACATAGTAAGAGAACTATTTTGTCAAGCATCTTTTTAAAATAAACACTTACACTTTATGTAAAATCTTTACATCTCATGATGCCAGGGATCAAACCGAGGGCCTCACATACGCAAGGCAGACACTACTACGGAGCCATATTCATGGGCCTAGAACACAGACCTCTTTTTTATTTTTAATTTTTTTATTAAATCACTGTGAGATACACAATTACAAAGTTGTTCGTGATTGGGTTTCAGATATACAATGCTCCAACACCCATCCCTTCATCAGTGTATAGTTCCCCAGTTTTCCTCCCCCCATCTCTTACTCCCCACCCACACACACTCAGTGTGTGTCTATGCCAGGCACTCTCTCTCTCCCTCCCTCCCCCCCGCCCCCTCTCTCACTCTCTCGCTCTCACTCTTGCTCTCACTCTCTTGCTCTCCTTCCCCCCTCTTTTGGGCATTATAGAATGCAGGCACCTTAAACTTGAACTATTCTGTGTAATTTTCACCAGTGTTTCCTATACAGTCTATTCTCTTCTCAACTCAGATGTTACAGTTCTATGCAGTTTCATCACCTTTAAGGCTTTCATGTGTGAATGTTTCAAAATCACATATATGTTCACTTATGTGCCATTCCCACAGTGTATGACTTTCAGTCCCTAGGCTAATTATATTTAGTATAGACACTTAGCATATACTTTTTGTTATATACATATATGTTTATATTGCTATACTTGTGTTTGTCTGTAAAATAGTCTTTCCTTGGCCTGCCTCAAGGCCTTTCCTTTCTGGAGAAGTAATCCTAACAATTTAAATTGTATAAGCCTCTTTATTTTTTCACTTCTTCAACACAGTTTTTTCTTATTACCTTATCTCCTTTTTTTTTTTTTATAGACCATAATTCCTGTCACTAGCACTGCTAGTGGGAGAACATTCTCTATTGAGTTTTTGCTTTTCTAACCCAGAAACAACCTATCTTCTCCTTGTTTCAGCTTCCATTTCACAGGGATGACACCCAAATATGTAATTTTTTACTTTCACTTCTTCCAGTACTCTATTCCTAGACCATCAACAGACTGCTAAATATTATTGATTCTTTTTAAAAACTGCCTCCACAAGATTTAAATTCTTTATTTCCCTTCATTTTAGCAAAGCGCTTGGTTGCTTTAGAGAAGTGTTTCCCTTAGTGGGTGCTACTGTCCCTTGTGGGGCAAAGGGATGTTGAAAGATTCAAGGGGGTAGTAGCAACTTCTGGTGCAGTTTGGTGGAGTTTTCTAGTTATTTGCTTGAAAAAGTAGATTTCTAGGGGGCAGCTGAGTGATCTTTATTTTCTGGAAAAGAAAGGGGGGGGGGGGGTGCAGCAGACCAAAGAAATATGCTTGGCATCCTCTGCTTTAGAATATTGGTTTTAAGTTTTCTTACCAAGGGAACAAGCAGATATTTGTGTAATATACAAGACACTGTCCATTAAAATTGGGGAGAAACACCACTCAGGGAAGGCACACACATATAATTGGGAGAAAGGAAGCTATACTTGTAATGAACTCTTTTGTATCATACTTTTACAGCAGACTCAAAGGATTGTGTGACACATTTTGAGAGCAGTGTGCTAACAAATACAGTAAAAATGTTAGTGGTAGAATCTAAGCAGTGGATATATAGCTGTTCATTATAAAACTCACCTTTGCTATATTTTGCAATATTTGAATATAAACTAATCTTTAGAAAGGACCATTTTTCAGCTCATTTTCTGCTTCTTCTCCATCTCTTCTCCCTGCTTGCCACCTTCACCATCCCATTACATTCTGGCCCTACCTGACCTTCGTCCAGCCCCAGACTAACTCTCCGCACTGCAAGAATTTGTGGACTAGGTTTTTCATATCTTATAGTGTTTTTTTTCCTTTAAGCGAGGGTTCTGTCTGCCTTATTTATGCCCCGTCTTTAAAACTAGCCTAAGAACCTTATATCCTCTTTCACTTTGTTGTTTAGTAAATGTATTTTCTAGACATAATGTCATTTGAGATGTTGCAGTTGTATAAGGCATATAGAGAGAGGTTTAGCGAGAGAGAGAGAGCTTTGAGTTTTGGCTTGTGTTGGAAAATGGTCATCATTTCAATCCTACATTCAGCACACATCTTCAGAAAGCACACTGATCAATACTGAGAGCAAACAGATTATCCACCCTGAATACAACACAACTGAGACAGAGATCATTACAACTTGAATTCACACAGCGTTTGCAAAAAGGTCAAAGCCCTTCAAACAGACACTTGCTCAAAGACATACAGATGGCTAGTAGGCATATGAAAAATAATCATTGTTTGTGACTGAAATACAAATCAAAACAATGATTTATCTTCTCGCACCAGTGAGAGTAACAGACATCAAAAAGATTAAGGAAGGAGGAAGGGGGTTTAAAAAAAAATTGATTGGAAGCACCCAGTGTTGGTGGTGATGTGGTAAGAGAGGAACCTCTTTCACTGTTGGTGGGAATATCACCTAAGTTCAGTCTCTGCAAAGCAGTATGGAGACTTCTGTACAGTTTAAGACTAGAACTCCCATATAACCCAGCAATACTACTTCAACATCTACCCCAACCAAAGTACAAAAACATCAACTCAGAAGAATATATGCACACCCTTGCTCGTGACAGCACTTAATACAGGAGCTGGGATGTGGAAAGAACCCAACATAGGTGCATGGATAAAGAAGCTGTGGTGTGTATGCACAGTGAAGTTCTGAGCGGTTGTAAGGAAAGATGGAACCATGCAGCTTGCTGCAACACGGATGGAATTGGGGAATATAATGTTAAGTGAAATAAGCTGGAGGGAGAAGGACAAATACGGGATGATCTCATTCATCTGTGGAATCTGAGAGTCAGAATAAGACCATAGACAGTTGTGATCAGGGGCAAACCCTGGACATTGGAGTACAGAACCAATTTTTCAAATGATAAGGAAGGGGGTCGCGGTGGGGAGGAGCAGACTAGAGGAGACATAGGAAAGTGGTGGAGGGTCGTGAGCTCTTTGGTGGTGGTGGAGTGGAGGAATTTTGTGTATCGATAACCATAAAGTATAATACTTTTATACCTCTCTAAACTACAATAAAATAAAAAATTTTTGTAAGGCAAAACACTTTAAAATGAACAATAACCACAAGACATCTCAAAAATACTGTAAAATAAAAATAAAGGGGCCAGAGCAATAATAGTACAGCGAGTAAGATATTTGCTCCGCACATGACCCAGGTTCAATCTCTGATATACCGTAGGATTCCCTGAGAACCACCAGGAGTGACTCCTGAGTGCAGAGCCAGGAGTAGCCCCTGAGCATTCCTGAGTGTGGCCCAAAAACAACCAAAAAAGGAGAAGCAACAGCAGGTGGGGTATGTGCCTTGCATGCAGCCAGCCCAGGTTTGATCCTCCTCACCCATATGGTCCCTGAGCCCCACCGGGAGTGATCCCTGAGCACAGAACTAGGAGTAAGCCCTCAGTACCACTGAGTGTGACCCAAAAACAAAAGTAGAAAATAAAGTTGTTTTTTGAAGCTGATGAAATCATTACCTTGAAAAGCACTGTGAATCAAATTAAAACTAACACAGCATTTTAAAAAATTAAGATATTAGGCAATTATTTTGAAATGTAAGAAATCACATCAAATTAAAATTCCGAAAAACTTAGGAGTATATTTAGATTCTTGATCTCAGGGAACTCGAATAACATTTGACTTATGAGCCACGATTATTGAAGCAGAGCCTGAAAACAGAATTTCTTACTTTTGGAGCCAGGGGTTTTTGTCTCCAGAAAGGAGATTGTCCAGGGTTAAGGCACTTTTTCTTTCTCAGAGGATCGTGATCCCCAGTACTACATAGGGTTTCTCTGGCACCAGCAGGAAAGATCCCTGAGCACAGAACCATCAACAAACTCTGAACACTACCAGTATGGCCCAGCCTCCCCCCTCCCCCCCACAAAAAAAACCCTTAGCTTTCATAGATTTCCAGGTTGCTTTTGTAACCTTTTCCATCCCTTCTTCTAAGTCTCCACGCCATCTTCACCCCCCACATCCCCACACCCACACACTCCTATTCTGTTTTTGTTGCCTTCAGCTCTCAGGCATTTAGCCCTCCTTGGCAGCTAAGAAAAGTCGCGGTAGAAACGCCTCCATGAGATAGTCGATTGGATTTTCCAGGTTGCAGTCCAGAGTGGCCCTATTCAGTAAGTGACAAGCCACACGTGGCTATTTAAAGCCAAATTAAATAAACTTAAAGATTAGTTCTGTGGTCTCACCCGCCAGGGCCCACTTGTGGTTAGGGGTTTCTGGGCTAGACAACAGAGATGTAGAATATTTCCATCATTAAAGAAACTTCTGTTTCATAGCACTCGTCTGGAGGAATGTGCTCAAATTGGAGAAAAAAAAAATCGCATAACTGAAAACTGACCAAACACCCACCACACGGTTTTCTGTTTACTTCTCACCTCTTAAATATAAAT